TGCAGGACTGTGACCTAGGTGACCAGGCAGTGCAGGACTGTGACCTAGGTGACCAGGCAGTGCAGGACTGTGACCTAGGTGACCAGGCAGTGCAGTGTGGTTGGAGGTGGCCCCTGGGGCTGCCCTGGAAGGGTCACTCTTTCTGAAGCCCCTGCTCTCTCTCTGTGTCCTGGCTGCTGGGAAGGGCAGCTCTCCTCCGCTGGGCTCTTCCCCCAGGACCTACTGCTTTACCTTTGGCCCAGAGCAATGAATTCAGCCATTTATGAACGGAAACCTCTGAAGCTGGGCGCCAAAATGACCTTTTTCTCCTCTAAGTGGTTCTTGACAGGCATTTTGGTTGCAAAGCTAATACACAGGAGTCTAAGAGTGCTGGTGAACACAGACAGACACGCACGGGATCTGCACACGCCCATCCCACAAACGCCACACAGCAAGCCACATCCAACACTGTGCACACCACATCCAGCACACTCTGTGCACACACACACCACGTACCACCAAACGTCATACAACAACCACACAACCACACAACCACACAACATACCACACACACACGTACGACGCACACATGCACTGTACACATAGAATGACCGAGTGTGTCTTTTAAGACCCAGCTGCTGATGAGACCACTTCCCCCGGGGACACCCTGCCGGGAAGTGAGCAGGTGGAGAAGGTGCTCCATGCCATGAAGCCAGGAGGGCGGGTGGCCGCCTGGGTGACATGGGTGAGTCCAGTGCAAAAGGGGTGGGCTCAGGGCCGGGGCACTTGACCACTGTGGCCAGGGCCCTGGGTCCTATTCCAGCACTACAAAAAGGCAGAGAGGTCACCAGACGATGATAAAAAGCCAATTCACCGAGAAGCTGCCATGATTGTAAGTACATCCTCCTCCCACCCTGGACACCTAACGAGGAAGCAAGGACCCAAGGGAGACAGGACTGAGAATAATCAGTCACAGGGACTTCCAGACGCCAGTTTAACAGTGGACAGGTCATCCACACAGGAAGTTAACAAGGAAACACTGGACATTATCCTAGTCCTTAAGGCTGCCATGAAAATCACTTTAAACTGGATATTGATGAACCACACACGTTCACTTCTCAGCTCTGAACTCTGGGCAGCCTGAGGCCAAGGCACCTGCACATTAGGGTCTGGTGGGCTCAGCTGGTGAAGAGGGCCGACACCCTCCCCTTCCCCTCAGGTTCCAAGAGCACGGCTCCATTACGAGGAGCAGCTCCCTGGCCGGTCACTCACCTCTTAACACACCACACCAGCAACGCAGCTTCAGCACACGGATCCTGCGCACACAAACCCACAGACCATCGCAGACTCSAGCTACACCGTAGGCCAAGTGGACCTGAGAGACAGACGGAGCACCCACCCAACACCAGCTGAGCATTGTCCAACCAGAACATAGCGAAGCAGAGACAAAACCGAGCAAGTCCAAGGAGACCAAATCCACACGGAGTGTGCTTCCTGACCACGGTGGTAAGAAATGAGAAATGACCACAGTGCAGTGCAGAGACTCCACAGGCACGTCCAACATGCTCCTGAACAACCACGGGTCAAAGGGAAACTCACACACATCTGTGACCACAGGAGGGGAAGACAACATGCACGTGGCAAAAGTCGGTCCAAGAGAGAAGTTTCTAGAAATAGATGCCTACACCAAAAAAAGCAGGAAGACCTCAAGTACACAAGCTAATCTTCTGCCATCAGGAACAAGAAGAGCAAACTAAGCCCGGAGTTCAGGGCAGGAARGAAATGACAAGAGGAGAGGAGAAAGGATGAAATGGAGACTAAAACAACAATAGAAAGGTCAATGAAACAAAGGGCTGTCTGTTGGTTCTTTTAAAGGAAGACCAACTTGACAAACCCTTAGATTAAGAACAGAAGAGAGAAGACCAACTAAAACTGGAAATGGAAGAGGAGACGTTCCAACGAACACGAGGTCACAAGGGGGTCTTAGGAGCAGTTCCACCTACAGACTGCAACCCAGAACCTGGTGAATTCCAACCTACAACCCGCCAAGCCGGAACCGCCAGACACAGGCCAAGGACAACGAGAACGTCCATCAAAGTCAGACCCGTCCAACAGAAGCCCAGTGAGACGGCTTCGCTGCCGAATCCTACCAAACCGCTGGGGAAGAACACACACCAATCCTCTGAGCCCACAGACACTGCAAAGGAAGAGACTTCTGAACTCACTGAACAGAGCCAGAGTCCCCTGATACCCAGCCAGCAAGGGACCAGGAGGAGGCAGAACGACAGACCAACACCTCCTACGGGCATAGGGGCCAAGTCCTTAAGGAAACAGGTTGGATATGACCAAACCACAGACAGACAAACAGGAGTAACAAACTAAAAAGCTTCTGCACAGTCACAGCGATCATCAACAGAGGGAAGGGGCGAGCTACAGAATGGAAGAGAGGATTCCAAACCGTGCATGTCATAAGGGCTAACGTCCAAACACATAAGGAACTCAAGCAATTCAATAGAAAGTATGGTTTCCAGCCTGACTTCAACTGGGCAATCGACTGAATGGACATTAGTCCAAAGAAGATATACAAATGGCCCAGAGGCCTATGAAAAAGATGCTTGCTACCACGAATAATCAGGGAAATGCCATCTAAAACCACTATTCCATGAGCTGTTACAAAAGAGCCTCATGATGACATGCGGTGGCAGGGTGTGGAGACCAGGGAGCCCAGCACACTGTTGGTGGAGATCTAAAGTAGAATGGCCATTATGGAAAACAATATGGAAGACCCTCAAAAAATTAAAATAACTTCCATATGATCCAAAATCCCCCCTCTGGGTATTTCCAAAGGAAATAAAATCAGTATGTGGGAGAGCCATCTGCATTCCTGTGTTCATTTCAGCATTATTCAAGATGCAAAATCAACCTACATGCCCAGCAGTGGATGAATGGATGAGGTATTTGTCCACAGTGGAATACTATTCAGCCTTCAAAAAGAAGAGGATTCTGTAATTTCTGGTGACATGGATGAACATGGGGACATGATGCTAAGTGAAACAAGCCAGGCACAGAAAGGCAAATACCACACAATGTCACTCATGTGTTGTTATGGTTTGGATGTCGAAGGTCCCTGGAAACATCATGTGGCAATGCAGGGAATGCTCTGAGGTGAAAGGATGAGATCATGAGAGCTGTCACCTTGCCAGTGGGTTAGTAGTGGATCCCTGGGCTCCCACTGTAAACTGGCTGGGTGTGGCCGAGGACGATGGTCCCTGGAAGCAGGCCCCTAGGGTTCTACCTTGTCCTGGCTCCCGACTCTCTGGCTCCCTCCCTCTGCTTCCCAGCTGCGGGGAGCGAGCAGCTTTCCTGTGCTGTGTCTGCCTCACCTCGGCCCAGAGCAAGGGAGTTGACCAGCCATGGGCTGAGCCTCCGGAACCCTAAGTCCATAATAAACGTCTCCTCCTCCGAGGTGTTCTCATGGGGTCTTCTGGTCTCAGTGACTAAACGCTGAGTAACTCACGTGTGGAATCCAAGAGGCCAGACCCAAGCAAGAACCAGAAGGGCGGTTACCAGAGGCTG